ATTATTTTTTTTTGCTGGTGTGGCTGTTGAGTAGAGTCGACAGTAAGTAATGCGGTCAGTTGCAAATTCGAGCCCTGCCAAGGGAACTTTTTTTTATTAATTTATTTGGTGTTGAAATAAGAGGGTTCAGGGTATCCCCTAGTAGGGAGCTCCCGACTAGGGCCTCTTACTTGTTTTTTTTACTGGTGTGGCTGTTGAGTAGAGTCGACAGCAAATAATGCGGTCAGTTGCGAGTTTGAGTCCTGCCAAGGGAACTTTTTATACCCTGAACCCATTAAAAATGGGTATAAGGGTATATTGTATTTGTGCAAAATCCAAATGCATGTAACCGGCAGAAGGAAGCATCTCCGACACCATGAAGTATATATATTCTTGATCAGCATCAATAGCCGAGTCGATCTAGCCATTTCCGTCTGTCTGTCCGTCCGTCCGTCCGTATGTATGAACGCAAGGATTTAAGAACCTATAAGAGCTAGAGACATTTGATGTTGGAAGAAGAGGATTCTGGGTATCCCCTAGTCGGGAGCTCCCGACTAGAACCTCTTACTTGTTTTTATTAATTTATTTGGTGTTGGAATAAGAAGGTTCAGGGTATCCCCTATTCGGGAGCTCCCGACTAGAACCTCTTACTTGTTTTAAATTACTTTTTTATTAATAAGTTACTTATGTACTATTATAAATTGGGGCTAGGGTATTTGACATATGGAAGTCTTAGCTCGACAAAAACATTATAATTCTTTACTATTGTACTCTCGTAAAAACAGTAAGGTATTTTACACATATGGAGCTGTACATATACATAACTGAAATACATTTGTTTACAGACTCCCGTGTCGGTTTTTGTACGCTTAATAAATTATCAAAAATATCAAAAAAGTTAGACTACTCATATATGTATGTACATACCAAATGTAAATACGTATAATTTCATTACTTAATGACAGAATGCAATTAAACCTTTATAACAGCCGGAACCTAGATCATGTAAACACATTCTGTAATTAATCTTATTAATAAGACAATAAACATTTGATAAAAAGTTATTTCTTCAAATTTGTACAATTTTTCCAAATCTAAAAAATTATAAGAATAGGTTAGTATAATAATTGCATCTTGGAAGCACTTTATTTTAACTTTTAAAGCTGATATAGTCCCAAATTTACTTAAGAAATATAATATATTGTCTACATTAAATAATATTTAATGTTAATGTTAAAAAAAATTATTATTGAGTTAAAATGATTTAAAAAAAATAACTGGATTTCTATAAATTGTAAAGTTCGATCACATTTCGTATGAAAAGTAAAACCCCGCAAGGAGCATGGACTAAGTTGTATGAAGTCTTTAGTAAGTGGACCCGAGCAGAAGATCTCACATTTCTCACACTTTCTCAATGTGAGCAAGGCCGAAAAGTTTGGCTCACTAAATGCAATGTATGTAGCAAGTATCAGCGTTCTATGTGGATTTTGGAGAATGAGATACAAAAATATATAAAAACTTTGCTCAGATCTGTTCAAGCAGATGCCGAATACATGTGGGCTAAGGGTACACTGGAAACAAAGCTAATATGTTAATATGCTTTGCGTCCCAAGTCAATAACCAATTTTTATTTTTAAGAGTGAAAAGAGTTAATGTGTTGTTGAAATTGCCTTGCAAGATGTTCATGATGAACAATGCGAGCAGCTATATTCAAGCCTAACTAAAAGCCACGTGAAGGGATTTTTTAATTAAGTTCATAAAAATGTATGCGGTCTTTTTGAATCGAAGACTATTGACGGAATATTAAATATTTCTTGAAAGAAAAATTTGTAGAAATACAAGCATTTCTGTGAGTGTCAAACAGGAAAGAAACTTAAGCGGTTTTGATCTTTTTAGGATTCTTTACAAACAAATGAAATAGCAAGATAACTGTCAGTGTACACTCCATAACAAAATGGCGTGGAACGCGCCAATCTGGTAATAATAGAAATTACCGAGGACAGCGCATACGACCACTAACCATACAAAATTTAGACGGGACAGCTAGAAGAAAAATTGGTAGTCGACTTTCTTTTTGTTTGTGTCCGAGACTTGCTCAGAGAGTAAGAAATCCATATGAATTGTGTGATAGAACGGCAACGCTGTTTTTTATTTCGCGCCCAATACAGGATACTGCTTTGGCTTACGCTCAATGCTCTCGATGCTCTCCCATTATGCCCAGGTCTTTTAAATGCAAAAGTCCACACAAGCAACAATGTGCACAAATTGAGTTTTTCTCACATTTCGGAGGCATTTATTTTCTTTTGAAAGGGCGAATAATATAAAATAATGAAAGGGTAATTGTAAGTCAAGGTACCTAAGTGTTGACATGCGTACATGGAAACTTTTTGGGCCGGCCATGGTACTCACAATTACACAATTTTGTGTATGGATAGAAGCATTTATACGTTTGTGGGCCTGCTAGTTGCCTGTCTGTCCTATGCACACTTGAGAAGATTTGAAGTTTTTGGGATTTATGAATGTCGTGCACTAAACATACACAAATGTGTATGAATGAGCAGAACAAACTTTATTATTCGCACTCGTCTGACGCGCGTTACTCGTTTTTATGATTTCGGGTTTGGATTGCTGAATGGCTGTTGACCCCTCATTGCCTGCAGCAGCTAGGGAGCGAAATTAAAAACCGCGATGCCGTTCTATCGCACAAGTCACATGAATTTCTTACTATCTTGCTCTTTAAACAAGTGAGTGAATCTCTGAACAAAAACGAAGTCGACTTTGGACCAGAAATCTAAATAATATTTATTTATTTAATTTTAAAACGGTGCGCACACTAGGTCTCTGATCGATCTGACGCCAATGGAAATGTGAGCTGATAAGTTTAGCTTTATAGCAAGCGGTGATAAGCAGATTAATTACAGCTCTTGCTGTTCTTATTATTTTACTTCCCATAAATCGGCCCGCTTTAATAATAAGATAGAAAACAGTTTTTCTAATTAAATTAATATGTAAAATATGTGTGTCACACATCGGAACTCTAAACTTCACGCTCGGTTTGCCAAAATCAGCTGCTTGGGACTGCCAAAGAATAAATAAGACAGCATTAAAGACAACATTAAACAAAACAAAAGAAAATGTGATTATTATCGCTAACTCCCATTCATTTTCATACCCTGAACCCGTTGTAAATGAATAAATAGTGTATAATGGTTTTAACAAAATTTATGTAACAGGCGGAAGGTAGCATCTCCAAGCCGCTGATCGTTCGTCCGTTTGTGCAGCTGTCGATTTATATAAGCGCGTTACCGCGCATTTCATTTTTGTTCAAAATTTTTGATAAAGAGATCCGTTTTCAAGCAATAAATAAAAGTCGATCAAAAAAAGTAATGAGTTTTTGAGAGCATATTTCTTAGGATTTAAGGGCTGGAGTCACCAAGTTATTCGTAAGAAACTGATTCTGGTTTTCTTAGAAGGTTCAGGGTTTTTGATTTTACGTTTTTATACTTATTGGTAACAAATTATTATTGTTGTTGGATTTGATCGGGCGACATCTCGATTGATATTTCAATGCTTAGAAACGAAATGTGTTACATGGATTTCATAGAAACGTATTTTTTTAATATAAAAATAGTAACAAGCAGCGAGAATAGACATTTTGCGTGTAAAAGAAAAATTGGCGCTACGGAGAAGGGATCCTAATGAAGTGAGAAAGTCATTTAAATGTGTTTCTTTTTTGTAAATCTTATACTGGGTATAATACGTTTTAGCTGGCAGCTCTATATTATGGTAATCAGAGAAAAAACTCAGCTTGGCACTCTGTAGCTTTGAATTTAAGCTTATGGCCTTGTCAAAAATGTGCAAGGAAACTATCGCCATGGGCAGTCTTGACGTCGAAGTTAAATGAGGCACAAAGAAAACTCCATCGGTTTTATATGGTGACGACGTCATAATTTGCACAGAACCCCTTGCACCAGGCACCATAAGCCCATTAATGTAGCATAGGATTTTAATTTATGAAGAAGGGTAAACTTGTGTAAGAGTAAGCTTTAATTAGAATCGATTTTTATAAGCAGGATTGCATTAAGCGCGAGTACTGTGACCAACAATGTTAATGTATTCTGTAATCTAGCTGAGTTGCTTACAAGCTTCGGTAAAATATACATCACCAGCTGCTCACTTATATGTAAAGCAGGCTTTACTCTCATTGGAAATATTTGAACCCACACCAGCTCTAAAGATAACCACGAGTGATAAATGCAACATTTAAGTCTCTGACTTCTCTAGGAAACCTATCTCACAATCACCTTTTGTTAGTGCAATAAATGATAGGTATACCTGAGATATCAAAATATTAACTTAGTTGCCCGCCTAAAACTATAGGCGTTTGTTAAAGAATTCTCAATTTTCTGTAAAACCATTTCTGAGTCAAAATCTACGTAACTTGCTAGTCTAAAATAAAAACAGTGGGTATCTGGGTATATAGGTCAACTAGTTAAGTAACTAAAGAAAGCCAATTATAATATGCATTTATTAGAAACAAATGTTAAAAACTAGTCCTAGCATATTTTTTTTTAAATTATTTGTTAAATCAATTGGTATTTTCAGTTCCTAATAATTGAACCTATTGTAGAGTAAAAATGTTATAAAGTGTACCCTTGAATAATACAAAAACAAACCTGCATACAGTCTGTATACAATCCCAAATTTAAATAATTTTATAAATTAATATATGCTAAATATGTATATATTATTTAAATAATATTAGTTATTATTTTTAAAAGAAATGTTGGTTCTTAAATAAGTTATAGACGACTGCCAATAAGCTTTGCGTAGTCTGAAAACCGTGCAAACCATAGCAAAAAGGGTAGCGTGTTATTATAAATGCGATAAATGCTTAATTTTTGTTGACGACTGATATCATTATGTGTGGAACTCAAATAATAATAAGTAATATACATGATTTTTGGTGAAATGGTAAAAAAGTACATATATAGATCGTGCGGGAGAATTGACAAACCTACCTTAAACCCATCATAAGTCCAACTGCCAAATTTTAGAACACATGTTTGTTCGTCGAATGGGAAATATTCTACGTCTATCTCACAGGATGACTTGTATATTGCTGGTGGTTTCCATTCAACTAATCCTTCAGAGTAAATTGTAGCTTTTGTTGCAAGCGTCACTTCGAAGTTACCATCGGCACTACACAATATCATTATTTTTTTTCAATAGTTATTCGTACATATAAAATACATTTTTAAATTTTTTTCATTTAGAAATTTTTTGATACCTCAGCTTGACAATTAACTTAAATTTTAAGATTTCATTTTTCAATTCCATTACTTAGCATAATTTTAGAATATTCTTTTACTAATATGTGTGCAAGCAAATTGTTTTGCCTTAAATCATACTTTTTCCCGTTTAATCGATCTCAAACGCAATTTCGAAATTTGTATGAAACATATTAAGCCGTATATATGCTAATTAAAAATGATTTAACATTGCGGGTATTATAATTTCGTCAGAAAACGCACGGGGGATGATTTAAATCTACCAGTACTAAGTATCTCGAACTGCATTCTTTATCCAAAATTAGTGGATGTTGCAAAAAGCGTATCAAATAAAAGTTCACAAAGATTTTTAAAAAAAGGTATAAAGCCGATCAGAATTGAAAGGTATTGAAAAGGTTGAACATAACCGTTTTCCGCCAACTGAGCTTGCATATAACGCGTCGCTTATTCAAACTTTGATCCGCTTCGCTCCCTCAGCTGCGGGTGGAATTTTTTAAATCGCTTATACACGTATTCATTAGGCTCTTATGGCGGGCTTTGAAAACAATTTTGAGGCACACCGGACAAATTTAAAATTTCGCCGAAAAAATCATTTATCCACAATGTACTCAGAGGAAAATTAGTTTCTACGGACAGTCTACTTCACGTCCCAAATAAAATTTCATCAAGACCTTTGGTAATCAATCGTTTTTCGATATTTTCCCAAACTTGCGGTTGAAATTTCCGAAAGAAAAAAAACATGTAAGAGGTTTTAGTCGCGAGCTTCCCACTAGGGAATACACTAAACCCTCTTTTTCCAACACCAAATGCAGCTCGCGCAACGCGCTCGTTTAAAGTAATAAAATTAAATTTAAAAATTTAAAATTTCCGAAAGTTCGCTTCTTAGCGACCTTAACACTATCAAGCCGGTTAATTCACCGGGCCCTGATGGTGTTCCTGCTTCCTGATGCTGTTCCTGCTGCGCTGCAGCATTATGTAAACCAGTCTCAAAACTTTTTGAATTGTCCGTAAACACTTCATCTTTTCCGACCATATGGAAGGAATCATACAATTTCCCTCTCCATAAGAAAGGGAGTAAGATCGATGTCGAAAACTATACAGGTATTTCCAAATTATCCCCTATACCTAAACCTTTTGAGAGAATCATAACATCTCAACTGCAACACTTATGTAGTTCTGTTATTTCACCTACCCAGCATGGGCTCGTCAAGCGTAAATCTACAACCACTAACATTCTTGAGTTTACTTCGCTAGTTATTGATGGGTTTCAGAAAAGAATACAGACTGACGTCATCTATACAGATTTCAGTAAGGTTTTCGACTCTGTCAACCACACATTGCTGCTTCATATTTTATGCCTTCTCGGTTTCCCAGTCAATCTTTTGAACTAGATTTCAGAGTCTTTGCGTGATATAACCCAAAAGTTTCTTTTCAGAAATTCGTTTTCTAAACGTATTCTGGTGACTTCCGGTGTTCCTCAAGGTAGTCACATTTGCCCGCTACTCTTTACTCTTTTCATCAATGACCTTCCCTTGATACTGTCTCACTCTCGAGTATTAATGTATGCTGATGATGTAAAATTATGCCTTGCATATAAAAATACGGCATCATGCTATCTCCTACAAGCTGACATTGATGCGTTTCAGGCTTGGTGTCTAGCCAACCTTTTAAACTTAAACTGCTCTAAATGTAAGGTAATGACCGTCTATAGAAGCCCTACTCAATTGGTTTCTTACATCCTTGATAGCTTACCGCTCGAGCGTGTCAACAGTATTTCTAATGAAGAAGGTGTCATCCTTGATCATAAACTTAAATTCGACTTCATAACATTGACCTAAGACCGTGGTCAATAAGGCCAGAATAGTTATGGGTTTTATCAAGCGATGGTCAAAGGAGTTCGACGATCCGTATGCCTCATTTATCTGGTCACCACAATATGCTATCCATCAGGACAGAATTGAATCGGTTCAGAAACAATTCTTGCTGTTTGCCCTTCGTTGTTTAAATTGTAATGCTCGTGTGCGGTTACCGTCATACTCCAGCAGATTTCTAATGATTAACCTTCCTTCTTTGATTAATCGTAGAACCATGTTGGGTGTAATATTTATTCATAAATGAATTACTGTAATATTGAATCTTCTGTGTTGACTAGCCAATTAAATTTCTCTATCCCTATTAGACTAACACGTATTTTTGTACCCCTATCGCTTCAATTTTGCTCAATTAATTATTTATTGCATGAACCGTTCAGGGTTCTCTGTGATGACTATAACAAGCATTACAAAGTATTCCGCTCTCTTCCTCGTATACAGTCTTCTATTCTAAACTATTTAAACAAGCAGATAGTCTTTTTTATTTGTAATTGTTTTTGTACACATACTTGTAGTTTGTATTTTTTTTTATACCCTGAACCCATTATAAATGGGTATAAGGATATATTATATTTGTACAAAATCCAAATGTATGTAAAAGGCTGAAGGAAGCTTCTCCGACCCCATAAAGTATATATATACTTGATCAGCATCAATAGCCGAGTCGATCTAGATCGACGGACATGGCTAGATGTCCGTCTGTCTGTCCATCCGTCCGTCCGTATGTATGAACGCAAAGATCTCAGAACCTATAAGAGCTCGAGACTTGAAATTTTAGATGTAGGTGCTCCTAGGGCCTGCACAGATTGAGTTTGTATCCGATAATCGATAACTTACTCCGTTTCCAAGCAATCGATAAAAATCGATATCGATATCCTGTTTATTGGGCAATTTTGGTAAATAATAAGAGCTAGAGTCACCAAACATGACACATAGCTTCGAAAATAGAATATATATATATATATATACTTGATGTTGGAAGAAGAGGGTTCAGGGTATCCCCTAGTCGGGAGCTCCCGACTACAACCTCTTACTTGTTTTTTATTATTTTTATAAAAATATTCATTCATATTTACTTTGCATTTCGTGTCGTACGTTACCCTCGGTCGGTTGGGCGGGAGGTGGCATGCAGTACGTTGCATCGGGATTCGCGTTAAAAGAAAAGGGGAGAAGTTCCCTTGGCAGAGTTCGAACTCGCAACTGAGAGCATTACTTGCTTCCGACTTTACTTAACAGCCACACCATTCGAAACAGACGCGCATGAATGTGTGTGTGTACATGTATACATAAATTCTTGGAAATTGCGCTAGTTGCCGCAAACACGCGGACAGTCAAAATACATAATTTCTGTGTGTTTCTTAACCGATCTTAATGCAATTTTTTACAATATATCTTATTGTACCATAGAATGTTTGTGAATTCTCAAATAGTCAATTGCATTTAAATTGTAGCTTTAATTGGTGGGCAATACAAGTTGTGTTATTAACTTGATTTATAGCTTTGCGGTGGTAGCGGGGATGTGGCGATAGCTATAAAATGAAAGATACCTGATAAATATAACATTTATTTTCCTTCAGATAAATATAACATTTATTTTCCTTCAGATAAATATAACATTTATCAAGTATCTTTCATTTTATAAATAAAGTTAATAACCAAACTTATATTGCCCACCAATTAAAGTCAAAATTGAAATGCAATTGACTTTTTGAGAATACACAAATATTCTATGTCACAATAAGATGTACTGTAGAAAATTTCATCAAGATCGGTTAAGAAACACAAACGCTATTAAAAAAAACGTGCTTTGACTTTCCTCGTATCAGCGTCAGCAAGCGCAAATTCCACGAATGTCTGTATACATGTACACAAACACATTCATGCGTGTCTGCTTTGAATTATATCAACAGCATTGCGACTGTGATTGTATTGTATTCTGTGCTGCTACTTTAATTCGTTTATTTTTTTCGCAGCAACACTCAATTATTGGTGAGGCTGTTGAGTGGAGGCAGTGGTGCGGTCTGTCGCGAATTCGAGCCCTACCCATTTTTGGCTGGTGTGGCTGTTGAGTAGAGTCGGCAGCAAGTAATGCGGTCGGTTGCGAGTTCGAACCCTGCCAAGGGAACTTTGTTTTTTAATTTATCTTTATTACTTCAATCGAGCGCGTAGCGCGAGCTGCATTTGGTGTTCGAATAAGAGGAATCACGGTATTCCCTAGTCGGAAGCTCCCAAATAGAACCTCTTACTTGTTAACTAATAAATGAGTGCAAATTTGTTGTTTTTATAGCCTTGCAGAGGGAATTATAATTTTGCCGTGAAATGTGTAACGCATAGAAGGAGACACCTCGGACCACATAAAGTATATATATTCTTGATCAGCATCAACAGCCGAGTCGATATAGCCATGTCCGTCCGTCCGTCCGTATGTATGAACGCAAAGATCTCAGAACCTATAAGAGCTAGAGACTTGAAATTTTAGATGTAGGTGCTCCTAGGGCACAGATCGAGTTTGTTTCCGATAATCGATAACTTACTCAGTTTCCAAGCAATCGATAAAAATCGATATCGATATCCTTTTTTTTGGGCGATTTTGGTAAATAATAAGAGCTAGAGTCATCAAACTTGACATAATGCTTCGAAAATATAATATATATATCGAAAATATAATATATATATATATATATATATATATATATATATATATATATATATATATATATATATATATATATATATATATTTGATGTTGGAAGAAGAGGGTTCAGGGTAACCCCTAGTCGGGAGCTCCCGACTAGAACCTCTTACTTGTTTTTTATTATTTTTATAAAAATATTTATTCATATTTACTTTGCATTTCGTGTCGTACGTTACCCTCGGTTGGTTGGGCGGGAGATGGCATGCAGTACGCTGCATCGGGATTTGTGTTAAAAAGAAAAGGAAAGAAGTTCCCTTGGCAGAGTTGGAACTCGCAACTGAGAGCATTACTTGCTGCCGACTTTACTCAACAGCTACGCCAATAATTAAGTTATTAAAAAAAAAC